CTCCTGGCTTTCTTACATACGGGGTTTTCTTTCCTGGTTGTAGTTCCGACGTGTGCGGCTGAATTGCAGTGTTTTGATTTGTGAATTTTTCCCATTGTTTCTCAGCCCCATTGAGGTGGTTACGTGAAAGGAGAGGAAGCCCCTGAGCCTGAACGGCCCAGAGCCAAAGGACGTGTTATCAGGAGATGTGACAATGTCCTTACACTGCTCTGGCCTGATTCAGTCGTTGTGATCCTGTGTTAGGAAGGGTGATTTCCCTGCTCAGAGTGGTGGGGGGTGGTTCTGCCCCCACCGCTGGAAGGCATTCTGGTTTGCCCCGCCGGTCTGCACTCATGCTCGCCTTCACATTGTGAAGATACTGCCAGCCTCTTCTTTGTAAATCCAGAAATTGGATGAGGCAATGGATATTCTTTTGACAAACTACGTTGTATTTTCGGGGAGGTCTTACAGATGTGGCACTGATTTCCTTCCCCTGGCGAAGGCAGAAAGACTTCTAACGCCAGCTTGTCTACATCTTCCACAAGACGTTATCATCAAAAGACAGGTGGCACAAGCTGCTTTCACACACGGTTTAGTTTTATATTAATCACCAAAACATCGTGTATGTGCTATGAGCATGTGAAGAGAAAGTGTCCTGTGTGGTTTTATTTTCCAAGGTAGACCTTGACATGCCCAATTAGTGTTTCGCCAGAAGACTGAAGAGGCTCCTCTGTGCCAATACCTCTATTGTGGATCCCAGCGCCTGCATCCCAACATGCAGGCGATGGCTCGTTTTCCCTTGCAACTGATCTTCCATTACCCATTACACATTTTTCTGTTGCAAATAGCATGTTTTCTTCCCCCAAAGCAATGTTTTGTATCTCTTTAACAGACCTAATTATGCTGTTTCCAGACCTTTCCACTCCCCTATTTTTTCCCTCCTGTCAGCAAAGAAAGGAAATGAAAGCCAAAAGGCATTTCCAGCTTCAACAACCTTTCAAAAAAAAAAAAAAAAGGCATTTTGAGTTACTGTGTTCATGACAGAATTGTAGTGTTGTTTTTTAGGTAACAAGTAATTTCCTTATGACAAATACATTCTCAATTCATTAATAGCTAAGTCATTTTTTGAGGCCTTCAGAAGGCAAGTTCTGCGGCAGCAGGGACTGAAGAGTACCTTTGCTTTGCAGGTCAATACCAGCCCTTCAGTGATAATTTGAGAAAGTCGTGCATAAATAGGTTATAAAAAGGCTTTTATACAAACTTAGATTTACAGTCATCAATTTAATAACCCAGTATGAGTCCCTCTTTTTACAGTTGTTTTTTTGTAAGCAAGCTAGTTACCCAGATGTGTTTGGGATTTAGAAATAATTCAGTGACTCATAAAAAGCTGGATGGGAGAAATGAACTGAAAGAGACGAACAGGAGAGATATTTGGGACTTGAGATCTTGCAAATTGCTTTAGATAGTTAAATGGAATGGAATAACTTTATTCACTGATAAAAAGCATTAAATCAAAATAATTGTAGCTGAGTGCAGAACAAGTTATAATTCATGAACAAGTCATGGTGATTAATTATAATGCCCTTAAAATTTACCAAATTCATTTCCTATGGAACATTTATTGCTTTTGATGGTGTTCAAATCCCTTTGCTTAATAATTTTATGTCCATTTATCTTCTGGTAATTAGAAACTGAAGCGTCTGAATGCTAGCTTTCATTCTGTACCATGGGTTGCAAAACTGTAACGCTGTCTATTTTTAAAAAAAAATGTTGATGTGTCCAATGAAATGTGTCTCATTTGCACAAATTTTTCACGTTGCACTGAATCCAGCCCTGAAGTGCAAGGTGCAAGATGTGAAAGACAAAGTGAAAAGAAGAAAAGAAATATCAAGATAAAACATTTTTGCCTTGCTTTTTACACCGTAGCCTATAGTCCAGAGGCTCATGGCTGGGTTCACAGGTGACTTTAGTCAAAGCTTCAGCATTTAACAATGATTTACTGTAAAATTTCTAAATCGAATTAAATAACAAGGTAAACAAAAATATAATAATAAATGTTTCATTAAGTTTTAGTATGAGCATGCTAAATTACCATCTCTGACACAATAACCATTATTTGGTCCTTATTAACTAACTGCCCTGTCTGTGTTACTAGCATTGTATTGACTCCTGTAATAGTAAAGGCAGCACTTACATGCTCTGAACTGAGCTCATCAGTTTTCTTTTTCAAAGAAATCTTGAAGCGTTTATATTTAACAGCAAGGGGAAACTCCAGCATTTTTTCTAAGGTTTTATAGAGAAAGCAAATGTTAAAACACAGTAACTTATGAGCAAATTGTTCCCTTTTTTCAATTGAGAAGAAGGAAGCATCTATTTTAAAAGGGCTGCAGAAATACGTAGTAAACACATGGAACTCAAAAATTATATTCTTATATATTTCCCAAAGACAGCTGCAGAATGCATATCGTGATGATAGCAGTATTGTGGAATAAGATTATCCTGAACCTAAGGCAAACCTTTTACTCAGACTGAAACCCAACCACTCATGCAACTTTCATGCTTAAGGGCATATTTATGTGTACCATATGCACAAACCTAAACATTTACCTGCACATACAGAAGCAAAAAGAAAAGTCCCAGTCAAGACACCTTTGAATAATATGATTTTTCGGAGCTGCCCTCTGTAAAACAGGTTTCTTAAATGTTCCTTATATTCAGCACTTAAAATCTCTAGTGACTCTAACACTTGAATCACATAAATTTTGATGCATATAGAAAGAAAAAGCATATGCAGCAGGGATCTTGAGTTGTAATAGACGCATTCAAGAACCAACTAATTCTGACTATACTTGAAGGTGCACATTCCACCAGTATCCTGATGTTCTTCATTACAACAGTTTGCACTGGTCACATTATTTGTGTAGGAGCCTTGCTTCAGTCTTCATGCGTGATGAATGAGGTCAGAGACCTACCTTTTGTATTAGTAAAAGTATCAGAAAGTTAAAAATTTCTCAGGATGGAGCAGTACCATTGTTATTTTTTTGAAAAAAAATTACATTACTTTTCTGTAAGGACCTTAATAAATCCATGCAATAAATCCATGCATTTTTTAAGAACTTTTAAGTCTCCTTTTCATTGGACACTGTCCAATATATACAAAGAAGACCAAAATTTGTCATTTTTTAACAGTGTAAGTGAACAGTATCTTGCTTCAGCAGAATTCCTCGTGACTCTCCTTTCTGGCATGAGCTGAGGCAGGCATGGGCTTCTGCAGGAACAAGAGGTTGCTTATTGGAGGCAATCTTACTTAGGGCATAGA